TTTGTCCTGCTAAGGGATTAGTGTTTATTAATAAATTTCTAAACTAGAGGTTTATTATGGAATTTTGATCTACAGTGTTTACAGAAAACTGAATGCACTAACTCTGTGAGATCAAATATATTCATTCAGATTTTCAGAGTTGATGGTAATCATTTTCTAGAGAGTGCCTCTACTTGCTTACCGCAGTTAAAAGCATACACGTATCTCTGCTTTCTGTGTTGCGATCTGTGAATTTTTAGTGGAGAGAGCTATATAATTGCTCACAGAGAATGTTCATCCTTTCGGTGTTGCTAGAGGATGGTATTTTATTTCGCTGTATATATTTTTATACTGCAGTATAAAGCACTAAACGAAGTTTCTTTGGGAGTTCTGAAAGTTGATTTATTTATTTATTTTTTCGCTAGGATTGTTGCCCTTGGTCCTGATTACCTTACTAAATTAGCTAAGGCAGAGTGACTCATTTGCTGGGTTTGCACATATCTTAGGGCAGACACTATGGGCACTCCAACTTAATTTTCTAAATTCATCACCAGTGTCTCTTGCTATAGATATGTACCAAGATTAAGGATGACTCTAGGATTAAGTTGTGACCCACACTATTAAAGGTAGAGATAGTATTTTGTATCATTTTCCATTTTAGCTTTTTTTTTAAAAAAAATCTAGTTTTTAAGCTATTTTAGTAACATTTTCTTAGTATTTGCCAAATACACAAAATTGTTTTATATGTGTTATTTTATGTATATATACGTACACACAAACACACATACACATATATAAATCTCTCTATAAATATATTCTTGTATTTCATTCCTAAAAAATAAAATACATGATTAAAAGGGACTTTGTAAGATTCACTGTGAGATTTGGGGTTAAAGTGTGTGCATTTTCTGGGTCTAGAAGAGAAGAGGGAACCTGAGGTTAAGGTCATTATGCAGTGACACTGCAAGTCCAGACGCTATCCAGGGAATGTTTATAGACGCATGCTGTGTCTTGAAATTTAGACTTTGGACATCACACAGAGAGTAAAACACTATTAATTTTATTCTTACCAATTTTAAATTAAATTTTTCTTGTATGTAATCTCAGTTTTCTGCCTTCATGGGAAAGTATTCTGGTAGGACATCGGTGGTTTATGGAAGAGTATAAGGGGAAATGTGAATTACCCTGAGTAGTAGAAACTGACCCTTGGTGAAATGGCCATGTGCCTTCCTTCCTACCTATTTCCTAATATTTTCCCATGCACACCTTACATTCCAACTCTTAAGGAACTACCTGATGCTCCTGGAGGAGGCCAAGTTCTTTTAGGTTTGTGAGGTTTTGCATGCTTTCTTCTTGATCTGGATTGCCCCTGCCCTAGCTAACACCCATCCATCTTTCAGGACTCAGTGTAGGAACCAGCTTTCCTAGGGAGCCTTTTTTTTATGCTTATTTCTGTCTTTCCTTCTGCTCTGTATTGAATGTTCTGATAGCACCAGCACATGGGACTACAATTCTGTCACATATTCATTTTCTTCTGTCTCTCTCACCAGACAGTAAGCTCCTTGGAGTCAGGGAATGTGTTCTTTTTCTTTATTTCTAGCACTTAACTGAGTGCCAAACACAGAGTAGGTGCTCAGAAAATACTTATGGAATGCCTCAGTTTGTGGATAGGGAAATGGATGGATTCATTATTTAATTTTCTCTTTAATATTGATAGTTGTTTAAAAATCATTTTTACCTACTAAGTAATCTTTTGTTAGCTTAATTCAAGCAACTATGTCTGAAATAAAGAAATGCTGCCTTAATCTGGGCACAGTGGCTCACACCTATAATCCCAGCACTTTGGGAGGCTGAAGTGGGAGGGTTGCTTGCACCCAGAAGCTTGAGACCAGCCTGGGCAACACAGTGAGACCCATCTTAAAAGAAATGCTACTTTATTAATATTTTAGATTTATCCACAGAAAAGTGAATTGTTGACAGCTTAAATGTATATAAGCATATACTTATTCTTTCTTGATCCTACAGATTTTACTTGTCTCTTATAGAGCAATGAGAGGAATCTGGTTTAAACTGCAGTACAGAGAATTTTGATTAAATATAATTGTCAGAAATTAAAGTACCAGATATTAAAGTGATTTGTAAGTAAGGTAAATGATTTTTTTCAAGAGTTAAAAGGGGGGGTGGGTGGAGGATTATGAATTATGAAGCAGTTCATCAGCATTGCCCTTAGACTAAAACTAAAGGAAAGAAAATCTGTTTAGGAATGTGCAAATGCAACCATATTCATGGATGGAGGCTTAAAAATAACCATATGGCTTTGCAGTTTTGTGTATATGGGTGTACTTTAAATTTTCACCTAATAAGGGAACTGTTATAGATACCCTTGCTTTTTATATAATGGCTTTGGTTTAAGAGTAACTAGCATAATATACTGAGAATCTCCCCTCAGCTTTTTTTTTTAACTCCTCTTTTTCAGAATAATGTAAATAATTCAGAAATCTTTGTCAGTGTTAAGAATTAACAGAAAATTAATGTGTAGAATAAAAGACCTACCCAATGGTTGTTGTTTTTATTGTTGTTGTTGTTGGTTTTGAGACGGAGTCTTGCTCTGTAGCCAGGATGAAGTACAGTGGCATGATCCCAGCTCACTGCAACTTCCGCCTCCTGGGTTCAAGCGATTCTTCTGCCTTAGCCTCCCAAGCAGCTGGGACTACAGGTGCATACCGCCACGCCCAGCTAATTTTTGTATTTTTGGTAGAGATGGGGTTTCACCATGTTGGCCAGGATGGTCTCCATCTCTTGACCTCACGATCCGTCTGTCTCACCCTCCCAAAGTGCTGGGATTATAGGTGTGAGCCACCACGCCTGGCCCCAGTAAATTTGAAAACAACAACAACAAAAACAACCAGCCAGACCATGGACACAAAGAACATGGTTTTTGAATGCCATCCTCTTGATTGTTTTAATGTAACGAAATGTGGCAGTTTGCTTTGCCCAAAATTTAGTCATGTCGCTATACTTCTAACTATAAACACTCTTTCCTGGTTATATTTGAAGAAAATTACTGTAGCATAAGCCAAATTCCCCTTCATTGCTAGTACACCAAAAGAGCACATATACCTTCCCGAGCACCAAATTTATGATCATACTTTTGAATAGAGTTCAGTGTTCTCTTTACATGTCATTCTGCAAGAATCATATTTGGAATAATTTAGGACAGCTTTACTAAATTTATTAATGTACACTTGTTATAAGGATGTGCTTAAGTTCTAGATTTGCTGTGCTTACAGTGCAAAAGCCTTCTTTATGAAATAAGAGAATTTTACTTTAATGGTGATAAATAATGCCTTGTCTTTTAAAATGATATTAATTTTCTAAATGTTTATATCTGGAGTTTATTTGGTTTTCACAATAACTCTGTGAAGTGAGTGTCCTAATCTTATAAATGAGAAAATGTAAGCACAGAAAGGTCAACAGACAGTCAGAGGCACGCAGCATTGTATGATAACAAAGTATTGTCATTTCCACAGCTAACATTTACTAGTGCTTACTATAGGCTAAATATTGTTTTAAGTTTTTTGTGTATATTAATATGTGCTTGGGCTTTAGTGTCAATCAAAATTTAAGTCTAGCTCTTCTGATAAGTTCTTGACCTTGGGAAAGGTACCTAACCCTTTTAAGTCTTGGTTTCCTTATTTGGAACACAGAAATAATGGTAGTATCTACCTTACTGGTTGTTTGGATTAAATGAGATCATCCAAATGACTCTGTGTGGCGTATAGTAATGCTTATGAGAGGAATGAAAAATGAGCAGAATAGAGATGTTTCTGACCTAATTGGCCAAAGTCCCTTATAATACATTTTAGAAGAGACAGAGAATATACGTTCACCTAAAAGAAGTTGTTTATGGTAGAATTAGTTCAGCCCTGGGATATTTTCCAAGCCAGAGACAAAGCATGGTGTATATTTGAGCTTCTGGAGAAAAGAAAGGGATAGTAAAGAAGAGGGAGTGGATTGCTGCCCACCTTAAAGTGAGGTATAGCAGCAGTTCACAAGGGATGTAAGCCAATACCTGGCATCCTGATTTTATATATAAAATTAAAGTTCAGAGTTGAAATTGTTGCATTTGAAGTTCAGAGTTGAAATTGTTACATCTGAAGTTCAGAGTTGAAATTGTTACATCTGAAGTTCAGAGTTGAATTTGTTGACTGTCTGTGGGTACATGGTTTCGGAAATGTTCCTTTTGGCTATCAATCATATTTATTCTCTAATTAATATGTAGATTAAAATGAGACTATTCCCATAACCCCTAATAAAATGCCGGATACAAAGTAGGTATTTAGTAAATATTAGTATCCCTGTTTGAGTGAGTTTGATTTTTTTGTGTGTTATGAAGGGTAAATAAATTGACCAGAAAATTTTCAAAAATATATTGAAATCTCTTATAACTCTAAACTGTAATTTATCAGTGTAATTTCACTGTTCTATGATTCTGTGGCATGCTTGTTCATACCATCAGTTTTCTTCTTTACTGACTTTTCTGAACTGGTTTTGGAGGGGTCTTACGGAATAGGAATATATGGAGGGTGGATTTTGAAGACAGTCTTCAAGAGGAATTATGGTGAGTGAGGTTTAGGAGCAGTCTCTGGAGATGGAGAATTAGTCTGCTACTGGCTAAAATGGGTTTTTAGAACTGGAATGGAACCTTAGAGGTGGTTTAACCCTTCATTTTACATCTGTGGAGTATAGAGAAGTGAGTTGTGCAAGTATAGCTGCAGTAGAAAAGCCAGAAACATCATAGAACTAAGACTATTTTTACTTTTTCTTCTGAAAAAGAATGGTAACAGGTACATATTATATTAATTTTTAAAATTGATGTTATATATTAAATACTTTTTATTCAATCTTTTAGACTTTTGAGTTTGTTTAAATAGATTAACTGAACTATGTTGCCAGAAAGCTCATAAGGAATATTATTCTTTAGAAATAAGACATTCTCAATGTTTTCCTTCTGTTTTTAGGTTAAGTCAGCAAACAAAGAAGACATGGTATTTTGAAGTATGATTAAACTCCTGATGCTGCAGCAGAGGCTAAGAATATTAATGGCCAGATCTAGGTAAGTTGAAGTTGATTTGCTTTTTATATCACTAAACCTACATTTACAATTATTTTTTATTTTTATTTTAAATAGAGACAAGGTCCCACTATGTTACCCTGGTTTCGAACTCCTGAGCTCTCCACCTTGGCTTCCCAAAGTGCTAGGATTATAGGCGTGAGCCACCACTCCTGGCTTATAATTGTTTAATGAGAGAATTTAATAATGTCTTCTTGAAGTGCAACCATTGCTGACACCACCACCTCCACTTGCAAGAATGACTTTAATTAAACTAAGACATGTTTACTAATTTAAAGTAGTCAGCAAGCTTTTTACAGTGTTGCTCTTCCCAAACAAAAGCTACCTTTTATTTTTTGAGACAGGGTCTTACTCTGTCACCCAGGCTTAGAGTACAGCGGCATGATCATAGCTGAGTGCAGCCCTGACCACCTGAGCTTAAACGGTCCTCCCACCTCAGCCTCCAAGTAGCTGGGACTACAGGTGTGGGCCACTTTGCCCAGCCAATTTTCTGTTTTTTATAGAGACAGAGTCTCACTGTGTTGCCCAGGCGGGTCTTGAACTCCTAAGCTTAATTAAGCAGTTGTCCTTCTCAGCCTCCCAAAGTGCTGGGATTACAGGCATGAGCCACCACACCCAGCCTACCTTTTGTTCTTAAATGTACCCTACTTTTGTATGTCACTCTCTTGAGGAAGCATAATAAAATGATTTGTGTTTTTGCTGAGTTACAAACTTGGAGGAGTGCATGCAAATGAGATCACATGATTGTTTCTCAAGTGTTTACAATATTAGTGCATATAATTTGGTGTCACATAGCTCAGATGTAGTCTCCAGATATTAATCTGGTGGTCATAAATGCAGAATATCTAGTATCTAGCCTTTTCCCTTGCCTAAGAGTTTGTGGTTTAGGAGAAAGAATTAGAGATGTGGATGAAAACTTCACATTAAATAAGTCTCCTTTCAGGAGTTAGAAGATTGGCCATGACTGCCTATGTTCCAGCTGTTTCTATCCCTCACTCATACTAAGCCTATTTTTTAGCCTTACTGAGGCCACCTGTTTTTTTGTTTTGTTTTGTTTCGGGTTTTCCCCCCCATTTTCTGTCTATTTTGTTAGCTCTCTTCTTTCTTTATTTCTTTCCTGACTAGTTAATGATGATCTGTCACTTCAAACCCCCTGTATTACCCATATCCTTTAGTATCCGTGCCCTCTTATCCTCTGACCCTGGATCAGTTGAACTGTCTGCCCTGCGGACTGCTGAGCAGCTATCAAAACAGCCTACCTTGCCTCTGCAACCTCTCTGAGCTCTCATCTCAGCCTACTTAATAATCTTGCTCTCTTTTCTTGGGTAGTTCCTTGGTGACTAATCCTGCCATTCTCAAGTGCCTCATTCTACAAGCCTTGCCTTCTATTTTACAAAGGAAATTTAGGGTGATAAACGTTACCTACTTCAGCCTCTTTTCTATGTTCCACCCACCCTTATATCTTTCATCCTTCCTCAGAGAATGAAGCATTCCTCCTTCCCTGGGTAAACCTCTCAATTTGGGCCCTAGAACTCATCTCTAGTATCCCCTGTGTCTTTTTTTTTTTTTTTTTGAGACGGAGTTTCGCTCTTGTTACCCAGGCTGGAGTGCAATGGCGTGATCTCGGCTCACCGCAACCTCCGCCTCCTGGGTTCAGGCAATTCTCCTGCCTCAGCCTCCTGAGTAGCTGGGACTACAGGCACGCGCCACCATGCCCAGCTAATTTTTTGTAGTTTTAGTGGAGACGGGGTTTCATCATGTTGACCAGGATGGTCTCGATCTCTTGACCTTGTGATCCACCCGCCTCGGCCTCCCAAAGTGCTGGGATTACAGGCTTGAGCCACCGCGCCCGGCTCCCCTGTGTCTTGATTAGCCCTTCTCTTTCCTTTGTTTTTCCTGTTTTTAAAACTTTGTTGATCTGTTGATTATAAGCCTGCATAAATCTATGTCATCTTAACATATATAACTCAAGTAATATATTCTCTTTTGAATATGTTCACACCCTTAACCCTCTCTACTCCTTATTTTTTCAAACAGTTCTTGAAAGGCCAATTTCCATCCTCTAGGGACTACCTCCTTATCTTCCACTTGCTCGTTGCAGTTTGGTATCTGTCCCTGCCATGCATGGATGGTGCCTTCCTGCTTGATGCTTAGGTTTTTTTTGTTTTGTTTTCTTTGTGTGTGTGTGTGTGTGTGTGTTTTACCTTCACTGGCTTCTCTCTACTCCTGTATTTAAACACAGTTGTATTTCCCCAGAATTTCAACCACAGACCAGTCTTCATACCTTGAACCAATGTCTTCTATTTTAGAGCTTCAAATACTACATGTGTTCTAATGTTTTGCCTTCTCCCTTAAACACATTCTCATGTACTTAACTATTCTACTTGGCTGTTTACTGGGCCCTCAGTTTAATGTATCTGAACAGATCATTATCACTTCCTCTTGAAGACTACAGTTTTTTGCATATCAGGTAATAGAACCGGCACCCTTTGCCATGCTGGAAACTGCCTCTTTCTTCCGTTATGTCAAGTCAGTTCTTGGTGCCACTAACTTTTCCTCTTAAATTTATTATTTTCTTGTTTATTCCTACCATTGCTGCTCTTGTTTTAGGTTTTTATCATATTTCACTTTTTAATAATCCCAAACTGATTTCCTTTCCTCCGAGCAAAACTCCTACTTAAATTTATCCTACAGATAGTTATATTTAAAATGCACTTCTGACCATCTCACTTTCTTACTTAAAATACACGGTGGTTTTCCATCATGTGTAGGATAAATTCCTTTCTCCTTGGCATGACATAAAAGGCTTTCATGTCACATATTAGGCATTTCAGTAATTATTGTTGTACTGAACTGAAACAGTCAGCGTGGACAGAGTTACCAAGTAGGTTGCACCACCACTCATATAAATCATGTATCACTTAATGATGAAGACACATTCTAAGAAATGTGTCATTAGACAATTTTGTCAGTGTGCAAACATCATAGAGTGTGCTTACACAAACCTAGATGTTATAACCTACTATACACCTATATGGTATAGCCTATTGCTCCTATTCTACAAATCTGAGCAAGATTACTGTACTGAATACTGTAGGCAGTTGTAACACAGTGATAAGTATCTGCATTTCTAAACATAGAAAAGGTACAGTAAGAAAACTATAAAAGAGAAAAAAGTGGTACGCCTGTATAAGGCACTTGCCATGAATGGAGGTTACGGAACTGGAAGTGTCTCTTGAGTGAGTTGGTTAGTAGTGAGTGAATGTGAAGGCCTAGAATGTTATTGTACACTACTGTAGACTTTATAAAACTGTACACTTAGGCTATACTGTTTGTCTAAAAAGTTTTTTTCTTCAATAACAAATTAACTTTAGCTTACTATAACTTTTTTACGTTATAAACTTTTTAATTTTTGAAACTTTTGACTCTCTTGTAATGATACTTGGCTTAAAACATATACATTCTACAGCTGTACACAAATAATATTTATATCCTTATAAGCTTTTTTCTGTTTTTAAAATTTTTAATTTTTTTTTACCTTTAAAACTTTTGTTAAAAACTAAGACGACACAGACACACACATCAGCGTGGGCCTATACAGGGTCAAAATCATTCATATCAATATCTTCTCCTACATCTTGTCCCACTGGAAAGTCTTCAGGGGCAATAACATGGAGCTTTCATCTAGGAAAACTGTGCTTTCTTCTGGAATACCTCCTGAAGGACTTGCCTGAAGCTGTTTTGCAGTTAATTTTTTTGTTTTGTTTTGTTTTCTTTTCTTTTTTTTTTTTTTTTGAGACGGGGTTTCGCTCTTGTTACCCAGGCTGGAGTGCAATGGGGCGATCTCGGCTCACCGCAACCTCCGCCTCCTGGGTTCAGGCAATTCTCCTGCCTCAGACTCCTGAGTAGCTGGGATTACAGGCATGCGCCACCATGCCCAGCTAATTTTTTGTATTTTTAGTAGAGACAGGGTTTCACCATGTTGACCAGGATGGTCTCGATCTCTTGACCTCGTGATCCACCCGCCTCGGCCTCCCAAAGTGCTGGGATTACAGGCTTGAGCCACCGCGCCCGGCCTTTAATTTTTTTTTAATAAGTAGAAGGAGTACACTCTGTAATAATAGTAAGACATATAGTGTCGTAAATACATAAACCAATTACACAGTCATTTATCATTATCAAGTATTATGTGCTGTACATAACTGAATGTGCTTAACTTTTATACACTGGCAGTGCAGTAGGTTTTTTTTAATACCAGCTTTATCTCAAACACATGGTAGTGTGTTGCACTATGAATGTCTCTATTATCCCTTTACTTAAAATTTTTATATTATCATCCTGTAAGTTATTAATATTAAACATTTACTATTTTTTAAAAAATTAAATGTTTATCAAATATGTGCCATGTCAGTCAGTACACTTAGTGCCCTGGAAAATGAAAAAGACAAGATTTCCTTTTTTTTTTTTTAAGGTTTCCTGTGTTTCAAGAGATCACAACAAAGTGGATGGTGCAGAAAGACAGGCCTTGCAATAGGATGTGAGAAAGGCCATGACAGTTATGCCCAGTCTATTGTGGGAACACTAGAGGCAGGCTAGCTTCAAGTTCATGTGAAGATCAAGGCTCAGATCTAGAGAACATGTCCCTAGCTTGTTCAGGCTGCTTTTTGGTTGGACCCCATTTGTCTTCCAGCCTACCCTGTAGTCCAGTCATACTGAACGGCTCACTTTCTCCTGAATGTGGTGTGACCCTTCATGACTTTTGTCTGTCTCCAGTGCTTATTTCACTTTTTTTGCTTAGTACATTGTTTCTACTCACCTTTTAAATCCGAACTCAAATAGTGCCTCCTGACCTGCCTAGCCCAGAAAGTTAGGTGCTCCCTTTCACGTGCCC